GGTGATGAGCTTGTGGTCGCTACCGAGCACTGGGCAACAACATCCTTCGGGACATGCGCGCGAGCTCCCATCATGCACGACAGCATTGCGACTGGCAAGTCCACGCGAGACCAGCGCCAGGCCAATGCTAGAGCCTGAACGATGCGTTGGAACACCAACGGGATCCAACGGGATTTGCTATCTCAAGCTGAAAATTCAGCACAGATGCCACGAATGAGCTCACGAAGCCGGGTTCGCCAGATCTTTCGCGTTCAGACCCCATAACTTCGCCCAAGTAGACATTGCGATCCCCAGCTAAAAGCAGTTCACATCGCGGCTAAAGTTGTAAGACTTCTTGGATGGAAACACGAAGTTCGCTCCAAAATGCCACACGTTGCGAGATTGACATACCTACATGCGGGGCATAAAAGCTACAAACCAAAACAGGGGAGCTGCGATCAAGGGCAGGCGCAAGACACCTCCAGCGGAATCTAGATGAGGTACTACGGGGCGAGACCGGCCATGAAGGAGAGGCGTTCTTAACAAGGAAACCGGCTTCACAACCATCTATGCCTTGCGGCCCGTCATAGACAAACGGCTGGTCAATCGGCAAAGCGGCGCCAAGCGGGGCACGCGTTTCCTGGATGCGCGTGAGATCAACATCCCAAGCTTGCAACAAACCGACCAGCCCATGAAACGCAGGGTGTTCGGACCCGCCCGGCAACCACAATCGATTACAGTTCAAAAAGCGCCAACCTTACGTAGGTCGGCTCTCGCGGTGGTGGCGGTGCCGGCGAGAGCCGCTGGCGTTTCTCCGACCGCCTGCGCTCGCAAATTCCCGCAACTCCTCCAACGAGTTACGGATGTGAGCCGGTAGTTGGCCAACGTGTTCTGGAATGCCAGAACACATTTCAGACAAGTGCTGCCGCAGGGGCCCGTGCACAACGGGTGACGAGTGGCGCAAATCCCGACTTGGGTGTTCATCACGCCCATGAGCCAAACGACCACAGCACCTCCGGCTGGAACAATGCTCCTGACAATAAGCGGTCAGACGTGCCACATCTACGATTCCCTGGCAGCCTGCATCGACGCGTCGAAGAAACATGCGGCTCTAGGCTGGGAGGCCCAACTTCCGTACACGAGCAACTTGCAATCCAACAGGGTTGCGGGCAAAAGCCACTTTCACAGTCCGGCGAGACCAACAACCAACAATCAGAGCGCCTACGCACACGTCTACGCCTCAGTGGCTCATTGGCAAGAAACAGGCAGCACACCGCCCGAAAGGGACTGGAGTATTTGAGAAACAGGGCGCAGAGCGCTCGAAAAGGCCTAATGTATTTGAGAAACAGGAATACGGTATTAGAACAACAGTGAACAAACCGCGCAAAACGTATTTAAAGTTTAAAAGGAACAGCACGCAAACAACTCGCAAAAGACAAAGGTGCTTTAAAAACAAGGAGCAAACAGCTCCAAAGCGACAAAAGTAGTGGAGAAACAGAGAGCAAACCGCTCGAAAGGGACGAGAGTGTTTGAGAAACAAAAAGCCAACCGCCCGAAACAGGCTAGACTGTTTGGGAAACAGGGAGCACACCGCTCCAAAAGGATTAAAATGTTTGAGAAACAAAGAGCAGACTGTTCGAAAAGGACCAACGAATTTGAGAAACAACAAGCAAACCGCTCGAAGGGGACTAGAGCATTTGAGAAACAAGGAGCAAACCGCTCGAAAGGAATCAAGCTATATGAGAAACAGAGGGAGAAAACGTTCCAAACGGTCTCAAGTACTTAAGAAAGAGGGAGCAAACCGCTCGACAGGGACTAAAGTTTTGAGAAACAGGCGGCAAACCGCTCCAAGGGGACTAGAGTATTGAAGAAGCAAGGGACAAACCCCTGAAAAGCGAATCAAGTAGTTGGCACACAGGGAGCATTCCGCTCGAAAGGACATAGCCTTCGCGAAACAGCGAGCAAACCGCTCGAAATTGAATAGAGTTGTTGAGAAACAGGGAGCAAACTGCTCGACAGGCATTCGAGAAACAAGGAGCACACCGCTCGAAATGGGTTAGAATGTTTGCGACATGGAACAAACCGTGAAAAAGACATAGAGTGCTGGAGAAACAAAGACCAAACCGCTCGCAAGGGACCAAAAAGGTGCTTGAAATAACAGGGAGCAAACCGCTCGAAAGGGACTAGAGTATTTGAGAAACATGGCGCAAATAGCTTGAAGAGGTACTACAAAGCGCCCGAAAAGGACTAGAGTATTTGAGAAACAAGGGGCCAACCGCTCGAAATCGACTAGCAGAGCATTTGAGAAACAAGGAGCAGGCCGCTCGAAAGGGACCAAAGTGCTTGAGAAACGAGGCAAGCCGCTCGAAAGGGACCAGGAGTATCTGAGAAGCAAAGAGCAAGCTGCCCCAAACAAACTAGACTGTTTGAGAAACAGGGAGCATTTTCAAAGGAGCAACCGCTCGAAAGAAAGGGACTAGAATATTTGAGAAACAAGGAGCAAACCGCTCGAAAGGGACTTGGCTGGTGTGTTTGGGAAACAAGGAGGAAGCCGCTTGAAAGGTGACTATTGAAAAAACAATGCGCTAATGTGAGAAAGGAGAAGCAAACCGCTCGAAAAACACTAGAGTACTTTCAAACCGCTGGAAAGAGATTTGACTAGAGTCTTCCAACCCTTCGAACAGGGATTAGAGCAGAGCATTTGAGAAAACAGGTGTAATTAAACAGCGTGAAAGGGACTGGCGGATTTGCGAAACAAGGAGCAAACCGTTCGGAAAGGATTCGAGTATCGAAGAAACAAGGAACAGACCGCTGGAAAGCGAATAAAGTATTTGGCGCACAGGGAGCAAACCGTTCGAAAGGGCCATAGAGTCTTCGAGAAACAAGGAGCAAACCGCTCGAACTTGACTAGAGTATTTGAGAAACAGTGGGCAACCCGCTCGAAAGGGACGAGACTATTTGAGGAACAGGGAACCCACCGCCCAAAAAAGGCTTAAAGTATTGGAAAAACAGGGAGGTAACCGCTCAAAAGGAGTGGAGTTTTTGAGAAAAAGGAGCACACCACACGAATTGGATTAGAGTTTCTGACAAGCACGGAGAAAATCGCTCAAAAAGAGACTAGAATCTTTGAGGAACAAGGAGCAAGCCGCTCGAAAGCGATTAGAGTGTATGAGAAAGAGGGAGCACACCGCTCGAAAACAGACCGCTCGACGATGACTACAGCGTTTGAAAAACAAGGAGCCAACCTCTCGAAACGGACTAGAGTGTTCGAGAAACAGGGAGCAAACCGCTTTACAATGAGTAGAGTGTTTGACAAACAACGAGCAAACTGCTCGACAGGGACTAGAGTATTTCAGGGAGCAATCCGCTCGAAAAGGCCGATGCAAGTCGTGCTTGTGGAGTTTGAAGTAGGGCCACCCAAGTCTGTCAAGCTTTTGCCACGGTGTTGCAAATGTTGAGTTGTCAGGGTTTAGGGTGTCGGGATGTCCGTGGGCTTAGAGGGCCTTTGACTGTCGTTGAGCGTATAGGCATTGAAGAGCTGCACTAAACGCCTCGCGCGCTATCCTGCTTTTGCATCTCTATGGATTCCACGGTTGGGTTCTTTGCAGTTGAATCCTACCCACAGTGTGGCTCGACTCGGTTCATGTGTGCTTTGGTGTTTATTTGCGATTAGTTTACATGTGATTCCTTTCCCGGTTCCCAACTTCGATTCCTGATTTTCCTCAAAGCATCTGCTGTTGGGTCTTTGAATGGGCTAATTGTTTCTTGCGATTGTCTCCAGGAATAGGGTGATTCGTTTTGTTTAGTTGGTCGCGCACGCTCGTTCAGGATGTACGTTTTTTTCTGCAGCATGCGCAGATACCAGTATGTAGCCACGTGCATTCCTATATGCATGTACATGTACACAAATACGAGATAAGTGACCAAGACTACACCGACATGCTACACCTGCGCAGACTAAACGTATCGATTCTGGGGTTACCAGAAATGTATGTATGTCGGTAGGTAGTTGGTAGGTATGTATATATTTATTTAGATGTACATATCTATATGTATATATGTGTATATATGCACGCACAAACGTTTACTTTGCTCTACCCGAAGCAACCCATACGCACAAACACTTAGATCGTTCTACCCAAGGCAACCCACAACCCCTCGTTACGCAAATTCGCAAGTTCTGTTGCCCACGAACCATCTTGCAACCTGTTCCAGTGTGCAGCCAGTCATTGATTCAACAGTCTCCACGACAGGTCCGGCCTACGGAGGTCGTGCTGGCGACGGAGCTTAGGGATAGTCGGATCATGCAATGTGTCCCTGGTGACATGGGCTGCTACACACGTTGAGACCCATGTGACAGCGAGTCAGAGTGTTTCTGCTTCTGGAGGAGGACAACACTCTCCTAAACACCACCCTCGACGCAGAGGGTCGCGCGTCAAATCTGGCTCGGTTGGATAATCAGATTTCGGGAGCATTGCAGGGAGGCTATTTCGCTCTGCAAAAGTTGGTTCAGGCCGAAGAGTCCGACCAGTGCCCAGTGGGTGACAACATACAGCATATGAGTCGACTCTTTTTCACATCTCGTTTCCTGCTTAGATGTTGTGATGATTAAGCATACATCGCACAGAACTAATACAGGGGGTGTTAGCTTGGATCGCCGTTTGGCTGCGACTCCGCCAACAGCATCTGGGCAGAGTTCCTGCTTTGCCGCGACCACCTTCGGCGTGATAGACGCAACGGGCTATTCAAAACTCAACACAAATCATGGGAAAGAGTAGCGTTGGGTGACTGGCAGCTTCACCCCCGGTGAGCCCGGACTTCGATTTATCAGCCGGGGACTTTTCTGTCATCATGAATTTGTTGAGTTTTCTTGCGAGCGGCAGGGTTGAGGAAACTCGGATTGACCGGATTGAATGGATCTTGCAGCGTTCACACGGCGCAAGCAAGTTCTCGAATCGTGACTGCAATCGCCGCCTAAACTTCACGCCCCCAAGCCATAGCCATAGCCTGCTGCAGGTGACATGAAGCAATATGGCTTTGGAGCCTTGAATACAACTTGGGATGCTTGACTGAATTCGCTTAATATGAGCTCATGTGCCTCACGCGCCATCCGAAGCTTCAGAGATCTACTCGCTGCACACACGAAGACTGCAATTGACAAACTGGAGCCTGTGTCGGATACTGCTTCTGAGGTGCACGGTACCCAGTCTGCCCCTGCGACGGTTCTCGCGTTGGCGGAGCGGGCCTTCCACAACAGACGCTCCCCGCCTCCCCCCCCCCTAAACCCTTATTCCCAAGCCTTCAACCGATGGGAGTCGCAAGAGAAAGTCACCTGCTCCGGAGGAGAGCCGCAACAACCTGACGCTCAATGCAACCCTGAACGTCACCCTGGGCTCGGATTCGCAGAGCAGCTGGGAAGGTGAAATTGACATGTATGTTTGCGATGGAGGTATGATGCTGGGTCAGATCAAAATAACACTTCTGTGTCACCTGAATGATCTTCACTGTTGGAAGCGGAGTGAATGGCCTTGTTGTCCAACAAACTGAGTGTACCACCTGAGGCGGAAGGCGGCGGCGTTGCATTGGTGGCCAAGTTCATCGTCATGGCCGCTGCGAGGCTACTGCGTTACAAGACTTCCGGTTCTTGATGCAGATCTGCCCTGTCAGTCCTTGCTGGTGGGTGCCACGGTGGCCCTGCACCAACATAATCACAACCGCTTCGTCAATATGCTACTCGGCCGAGTTGAGCCGGGCTGGCAGTTTGAAGTTGAGGCTGTCATGTCAGTGCTCACTCGTTTCATGGTCAGGCCGTCCAAGGCCGTGCATGCAGATCAGCATTTTGTCGGTGTCTGCCGGGTTTTGCGTGTTTTCCGGTGCACACATATGTGTAAGTGTGTCAGCCTATCGGTATCTGTCCATCTCTTTTTCTGTCTTCTTGTCGTTTTGTATGTCTGTCTGTCTGCCTGGCTGGCTGGCTGTACGTTTGCAGTTAAGTATGTATGTACCTATGTATGTACGTACGCATGCACGCATGCACGTAATGTGTAGGTAGGTTGGCAGGCAGGGAGGCAGGTAGGTAGGCAGGTAGGTAGGTAGGTAGTGAGACAGGCAGGCAGTTTGGTAGGCAGGAAGGCAGGCAGGTAGTTTGGTAGGTAGGTAGGCAGGCAGGTAGTTCGGCAGCTAGGTGCGCATGAATGCCTGTGTGTATGTATGTATGGATGCATGCATGTCTGTACACAAGAACATAATATGTGTCTGTGTGTTATGATATGTGTCTGTGTGATGTTTGCATTTATCTACCGATGTAGTTGAATCTAGTTTCATCCTGTTTAAGCTAAACTAACTCTACTCTGCTCCACTCTACTCTACTCTTCTCTGCCCTGCTCTACTCTGCTCTCCTCTCCTCTACTCATCTCATCTAATCCAACCAAACATAATAAACTTCAATCGGTTTTAAACTAATCTAAGTAAAAATTGCCACTCAATCCAGCGATCCATCAATCCATCCATCCATCGATGGCGTTTATACATCTATGTACATGTGCTTCTATGTAGGAGTTAACGAAAGTGCGTATTTGTGTGCGCATGCGTATGATGTAATGTGCATGTACGCACATGCGTGCATGCATACATTCATATGTATGAGTAAGCATGTCCGCACCGGTGCACTTACATAGACACATAGAGTTCCACCGATGCGTGTTGAAACACGAAGTTCGGACTAGCAGTCCTTACTATACAGGACATGCTGCCATGGCCTCGGACCCCTTCCCAAAGATGTGCTAAAGCGAGCAAGAAGTGTTATTCCTCAGTCCAAGACGGGACACAAGACCAGCAACAAGGCATCTAACCGAGCTTCTACACCTCGGCCAACTATACAAGCCACAGTGCTACTGGTACCCGTACTTCCGAAGACAAAAGCCGTTTGTTGCCCGCCTGTCAGGGTGCACAGTGACCTGGTTTGGACAGGACACAGAAACTGGGAGCCTCGGCTTTCTTGCCAAGTGTGTGTGTTTGTGTGTAAACGCCTGTACATGGCGACTGCAGTGCAAATTTCCTATTGCAGGGGGACCGAGGGAGTGTGGAGGGGCTCTGTCCAACGAAGCTACCCTCCACACTCCAGGCAAACGTACCTGCACGCATCCGCCCTGGGTCCCAGCGTGGACAGCTGGGGGATGTTCTTCAACTCCTTCATCTCATTTGGTATGCCATTCCTTGAGTCTGGCATACCGGGGCAGCACCCATCCCCAACGGATCATAAGTTTTAGCATGCCATTCCTGGTGTCTGGCATGCTTACGCACCAAATTTCATCGTCCTTCCGTGTCCCGCTCCTCTGTTCTTCCATCGTTTTGTCCTGTCTGTCTTTCTTTGCATCAGTTCGTGCCGAGCCAAAGTGTGTGTGTGTGTGTGTGTGTTTGTGTGTGTGTGTGTGTGTTTGTGCGGAGCCGTTTTCGTACACTCCTGCGAGATCTTGGGAGTTTTTTTGCTCTTCGGCTGCCGGTCTCTTACGCAAGAGATACTGAGGACCACTTGCCAACCGGTTGGAGCGGTTGGACATCGACCTTTTTCAGAGTTCATAGGAAAGGCTATGAGTGCCAAACGCACAGAAGAAGAATGCGACATCCTTGCCGGGGCCTCAGATGCAAAGGGTGTCTTCTGCGGAGACGTCTGAGTACATCTCCAGCTCGCAGGATCTCCCAGAACACTTCAGGGCCTCAGCAAATACACACTACTTAAATCTTGCTCGGTCCTAGCCTCGGTTGAACCGTGATCCGGCAAATCGGGGCTGGTTAGGGTTCAATCAAGTGTGGATCTTTGGAACCCATTAAAGATAAAATCAATCATGTTACGAGACCAATGGCAAGAGCAGCATTATTGTTCTTGTGAATCGTTGAGAACCTTTTCACTTTTCTATTGCTTCAGCTGAAGCTCAGCACCCCTTCCGCACCGAAAGGTCACGTGAAGGTCGGCTTCCACAATCCACGAGAGAACAGATGGATCCGGCTGCGAAACAACCACGACCGCTCTGCTGCTTTGGGTATCTCAATATCGGGTTCTGCTAAGTTAAGAACACGCTGTTTCGTGTCTTAATGTTGCAGACTCGTCCCTATATAGTGCAGGACATGGATGGCGCGCCGTGGTTTCAGAGCTGGGAGAGCTTTAATGTCGTGGACGCTGGCAGCGGGAAGGTTCGCCATGCATTAGTGTGCCGTAATGCTGCTACAGATTTATTCGCGTTGTACGTCTTGATTTCTTCTCCACGGTCCGCTTATTCTGCTTTTGGGCAAGACTGGAGGAGTGGATGTGGTCTGTAAGCGCCTCGACTGTAAAGTGCATGGCCCAGCTCCGGCTGTCGCGCCGTTGCTGCTGCCACATTGTCATGAGCCATTGGTCCCTTGAAGGAACTGTCAGCACCCTAGTTGGCGGCCTCCCTCCTACTAGACAGGTAACGGGGTCTTCGTAAGTTTCCTTTCAGCCAGACTCTTACTACTCCTGCTCCCGCCCCAAAAAGCGCTTCGACTTCTCTTCGTCCCTATTCAACACCTTTTCCTGAAAAGCGTACTCAAACCCTTTCGTCATTGCAGCTGACAGCTTCTTGCAAGCAAACGTTATTGCAGATGCTCGACGTTGCTCTGACCTGCGAAGCGGCACATTCGTGCGGACGTGTCAGAATCAGAACGGAGACACCACCTCGCAGCCACGCCTGGACACCCCTGTCGTCTGAAAGCAGCATCGTGACGGGGGAATCGGTAACAGAACCAAACACACAAACAAAACCAAGTTTTTGGAAGTCTCTGGCTACAGAGTGCTAAATCCAAGAGTGCTAGGAAATTGTTGTGTTTTGTTGGTGTTTTTGATGTTTGCATGTTGTTTACTGGTGTTTTTGAGTTGTCTGAATGGTGTGCTGGATTTTGCGTGTTTGTTGGTGTATTTTGTTTACAGGCCTTTCGCTATCTCCATTTGTCCGCATTTTGTGGGTTCGCACATGTCCAACCTCGACAAGCGCACTCTCGCAGTGTTCTATATATATATATATATATGTACACAATTGTACACATGGGTACATACAGTATGAACAGCAGGTTCATATGTCTATGCCTGTGCCTAAGTCATCCTTTAAGTCTATGCTCATTCCATGTTATGTCTACGTCTACTTCTACATCTTTATCTATGTTCACGTCAAGCCTGTGTATGTGCACATGTTTATGTGTAGGTTTATGTGTATCTGTACGTCTCTGTATATGATTGTATATGTTTAAGTTTATGTCTATGTAGATGTCTGCGTAGTCGATGTATATGTAGTATATGCGCATCTACTGGTACACGCATATGTGTGCGTGCGCGAGGTATGTGTGTATGTGTGTGTGAGCGTGCACACCTGCATGTGAACGACAGACTCCCTTACACTGGGGTCAAGGCACGAAGTCGCGCAGGTGGCTCTTCACTGCGACGCCCACAACAGGTACATGCGGATGCCTCATAGGCATCATATGGCTGCTAAGATGCATTGGAGTGCCCAACATGATTCTGCAGCAGCTTGCAGAGAGTGCCCTGAGGACACCAGCGCTCATCGCAACTCTTGGGACTGGGCTGCTTCAGTGCGGGAATTTTGGTGCTGAAATCTCCTATATTCCTGTGTGATCAGACCTTCTGGGAAGGATCTTCCGTGGAACTGGGGCTGGGAGCGCTTCAAGCCCGTCTCTGTGCCTCAGCCGCAGTGGGAAGTCAGAAGACCAGCAGGAGAACCTGGATGCAAATCTGTTGGAGCCCTTCTTCAGGCTTTTCTGCGCCACGGCACCATCGTCGCGCTTTGGTGACCTGCTTGACTTCAGGGGGCACGTTTCGTTAGGCATGGCGGCCGCATGCAACCTCAGCAAGCCGAGGAACGAAGCGCACCACCGCTTCATGCGCATGAACGCACATAACGGCCACATGGACGGCTCGCCCAGGACCGAGACATTTTGTCTGGCCCCAACTGGAATGAGAAGCCCCGGCCCCTAATTA